CGTCGTGCACTTCAGCTCCAAATGAGCCCTCGATTTGGTTTTCTTTTCTTCATGATTCTCAACCAGAATTGTGTTTTCGAACATTATCCAAGGCTGGAGCCGTAAAACTTGGGACTTCATAGAGACCAACTGTGAGTTTTACCTCTTTCCCCGTAGCGAGCATATACTTACCGAAGCAAGGGTTCTCCATCACAATATGGCTCTTCCTCTCCCTCTCCGACTCCTCAGCCGTACTGACGAAAAGTTCGAAGTCATTGATTGTCGGCAACCTCGCAGTCCAAATGGTAGAATTGACCACTTCGACATCATCACATACACATGGGGCGACAAGCAAGAGCCTTACAATTGCGGGATACCAGGTGTGAACTGGAACGTGAAATTGGCGCAACAGAAACTGGAAGACATCAAACGTTTGATGATCAAGGACGACATTCAGTACCTATGGGTTGACTGCATTTGTCTGGCCCAGGATGATGAGCGAGAAATGTCATCAGAAATCCCGAAGATGTACCAATACTACAAGACTGCACGAAAATGCTACATCTTGATGGATATGGACGAAGTGTGGAACCCACAGGATATTGTGGACAATCTCAAGTTCATTGACCACATTTTGGCGAATATGGGGGGCGCTTCGTTGGCTTCGGAGGCATTCCTGACCGAGAAGCTTACAAACATTTTGTCACAATGGGCGACGAAAAACTGGAAGTTTCCCATGGACTATGCCACAGTCAGATCCGCTGCCATTGACATGGGCGTACTGAATTGTTACTCGACTTGCATCAACCGGGTTCAGTCACTGTTCAATAACCCGTATTTCACTCGCGTATGGACCTTCCAAGAAATGCTCCTCGGCAAGAATATCAACATGTACGGCGTGAACAAAGACCAAATCTCATGTATCGGAGAACTCAATACTTGGATGGATCTCGCGACTGACTCAAAAGACAAGGCCTACAAGCTGCATGCATGGATCACGACATCCAGGGTTTTGAGAACAGCATCCGTTAATGCGATCTTGCGAATCCTCGACGAAGACTGCTTGACACTCAACAGCTTGCAGACACAAGTCAGGGGGATCAGCTCAGCCAGAACGGATATCATCAACGGTGGCCCGTCCTGGTGGTACGAAAATCACAAAGGGGTCTGCAACATCTTCTCAGCAATCTCAATCACGCCAAGGGAGTGCGAACAGAGACGAGACATTTTCAGAGGGCTTCTTGGAGTATTCAGCGGATTGTTCACGGCAGAGGAAGTGGAAAGAGACTTGAATGGTGACAACATCGAGAGTATCTCGTATGCATTCTTCAAGCAGCTTTCTGTGAAGACTGGGTTAGCATGGACGAAACTTGCCATCAGTAGTGGAGAGCGTGGAGAGTGCGATTGGATCCCAGTCGTTGCCAATCACAATAATCCAATGACTACGGATTGTTTTGCCGCTGTTGTCAACCTTGGACGACTAAAGCCGAAAGGCTTGGCGAAAGCTTTCGCGGTGACGGGCATTCTGGGAACGCCGAAGAAATACATGAAGATCTCGCTGAACAATAGCGATAGAGGATTTCAGTTCATCTTTCGAGGCTGTAACGCTGGGAAGAAAGTCAAGACTGGTGTGTTCAGCAGCGAGACGATACCTGTGAACGACCATCCTCGCGACGTGGCTCCGGATGAGACTGGCAGGATATTGGTACAATGTGCGACGATGCTGGGAAGTATCATGGACCCTGGTGGCGATGTGGTTCAGTACCGGAGGAGACTGCTTCATAAATTACAACCGTACTGGGATATCAGTGATCCCAACGCCAAGCCGACAGGTTGGGAAGACAGATGTGTAAGTGGAACAGGCTGGGAGAACCCACATCCTCACGAATTCAGAGTCCACAATAGGTCAATGAACTTCAGGATGGGAGCCATCACAGACTGTGGGTCTCGACTCGAGAATGAAAGTACTGAGAAGATATCCTGCGAGGTAATTGTCAATTGCGGATGCATAATCATCGCTCCATTCTCGTTGATTTTCGAAGCGATAACTGCTGTCGAGGGATGCTCGCTTGGCGGCACATCCGCAACCTTGGAAGAAGACAGAATAGTCTTGAGAGATGGGCTGGGCCTGGTTCAAGTTGGAGATATTGGCAGGGCTTTCAGCCTAGTAGCGTATGGAGGAAACACCGATGCTCACAGGGCATATGCGAGTAGTTGCAAGAGTACGAAGATCCATAAACCTGTGGTTCCGAAACTGTGGTGGCCGAGCGCAAGGGCACTTGTGAGAGAGGAATTCACGCATGGCCTTACAGATTCGATGAGGGATTATGGGTATGTGCAGACGGGCGGGTCGGGGAATTTGTTGATTTGTAGGAATCGCCCGTTGGGTCAGTATAAGATTATTGGCGTTTGTGTGGATGAGTGGTTGGAGAATAAGGGAGGAGAACATACGGTCACTATTCGTTGACGAAGGGAAGATCTAACAAGGATATAGGGGGTGGTTATTGTGTATTATCTAATTTGAGCTGAAATATAATGACTTCATATTCATGAGTTCGCGATCGCTTTCAGCCAATGCACAAAGCTGTACCAATTTCACCATTTTATAAGGTAAGTAGAGGTGAAGGGGCTCCTGTAAGCGAGTGCGCTTTGCCAATTTAGGAAGCTTGTTGTGAAATGTGAATTTTGACACCCGCTCTTGAATTGAAGAAGGCGACATACTCGCGGAGTCTAACATAGAAGGATGAAATCCACCAATGGGCTTTCAGCGAGATATCGGGTCACCATACCAAATTTGCGTTCGGTATTCTTCGACCAGAAAGGGCAGCGGAAGGGCTTTCAACTTAGCCGCCGTGACGGGCTCACGAGATTTCCATTCACCACGAATAATCCCTGAGCTACTTGACTTGAGTAAGAAGTCCAGTATTTGACGAGACCTCGTTTGAATTTTGCAATTCACGATCCCAGCAGAATACGTTTGTGTTGACCGACAGGTCCCGATCTTGGAATGGACTTCACCTCTCAAAAACGTGTACAATCCTGACAATTACTCTCTGATCTCAAAAGGCATTAAACGCGAGAACAGAGCACTGCAAGGGACTGAAGACCAGAAAGCCGAGATGGAAGACTACCAACCAGAAGCAGATCGCGCTTTCGTGGTCTGCCGTGAGACCAACCTGCTCCCAAAATGTATTTTTGACGTCTTCTTGCACTGCCATGGCTTGATATGCGTTTATCTCGTCCCAAACATGATTTCGCACTCGGAGCCAATTTCGAACTCGACATCGTTCTCCACTTCGCAAACAGCCTCGAACGCAAAATCACAAGGGAGAAAGACTGCCTACGTCAAGTTCAGCGATGCTTCCAGCGCTCAAAAGGCAATTGATAATGTTGATGGACAGATAATTTGCCATCGCCGAATGGAGCTTTCCTATACAGCCTCGGACCTGGATGAAGTAATTCCTAGTGGTGCGGACACTTGGAATCATACAGATCAGGCTAGGTGGGGACGAGGAAACAATGCTCTGGTGGCGTCAATGCTGAAAGTGTAGGTACGCCACGGTTCATGCTTTAGTCCGGTGCTAACTGTAGCAGGCTGTCCACGAAACAGACTTACGACTCAGACAACACTAGTCCTAGAAAGCTCGAGGAATTTAAGGCTCTCTACGATGAGGAGGTCAAGAGACTGTCTGGATTCTTTCCAAATGAGACGATGCTCCGGCGCCAGAGAAGAGTCTGCCAGTACTTCAAATATGAAGTGTCGATCAGTTATCACCAGCTGCTGGAAGCTCGAAAAGCAACCAAGTCACCTCAGGTTGTTCCAAAATCTACCCCTTTCCTATTTTACTGTATGCTGATTAGTCATAGGATCTGGATCTCTCACACACATCCCTCTCAGAACAAGCCCTCCAAAATCTCCTCATTGACTTCAGACTCTTCGCCTCCCGCGTTGAACACATGCGTTTTCTTCGAACCACGGTACAGCTTGTAATTGACCTACCAGCGAGAAAAGATGAGATTTCGACGAGAAATCTGTTCATGGTGGGGGATTATCTGGCTGAGACAAATAGATCGCTGGAATTGCCAATGGTCTTTCAGGAGCGGATGTATCGTTGCTTGCATGATCATCTTGACCAGCTTTATGCTGGAGAGGTTGAGGTAGATCTATTCTGGGATGAGGAATTTGAAAAGGCCATTCTGAAGGCAGATGATGCTGCTTGAAGGCATGGAGGGGTCTGGGTGTCAATTGACGGCTGTACTTTGGCGAGCAAGATTGATTGCTGATGGCGGAATACTTTGGCTTGCGCATAGAAACTCCACTCTTCATCTTATGATTTTATCCTCGGGCAATAAAGTTGGGATAATAAAACTTGGTTTTTGAGGGTCTGCTGATAGCATTCTATGGCTTCGTGTATCTATGAACATTTATAAAAGCCAGCCACGTTCTGTCGCCTTCTATATAATTAACTCCTTCTACCTCTCCCATCCTCCAACAGATCTCCGAAAGGCTTAGAAACAATGTACTGAGTTCAGTATCTTTGAATGGCAATGTTTTATGACCAAATTTGGGCCTCCGTTCGCAGGTTCGGGTAATCCGCACAGTACTTACCCGCATATCACTCTCATCAAGATACCCCTCCTTCAATGCACTTCACTTTGAATTTACTTTATGGAAGCTGAGGGAAACAGAACTGCAGCTACTTTGTGGTCACTACTAGCTCTACGCTCTGCAAGCCAGTGGCGTCCGTTTGCCAGTGATTGTTGGAGCACATGAAATATATGACAGCGTACCACGTACAAAACATAATTCATTCTCGGCACAATGATATTTAAGCCAACTACTCAGGTTCAGCTCCAGAATCTAGGCAGGAAGAGAGAAAGGGGGAGACAAACAGCTCACTCTCGCTTAGCTTCTCACCTGATTTGAAAGCAAACAAACCTTCAAAAAATCATAACTATTCAACGGATCAAAGAAACAACTTCAAAAAGAGATCAAATGATAGCCCTGGAGGCATTATAGATGCTACGCAAGGGGTTCGAACCCTTGTATCCTGCTTTCATGAGCCTTGTGGGAAACAAGGCGCCTGGGAAGCAGACGAGTTAACCACTACTCCAGCGAAGCGATTTCTTGATGGATCCTCATGACTTCTCCATCTAAGCCATGTGAGCATATATTTTGATTAATGAACATCTTATTTACTGCCATACAGCTGTTTGTTCTCTGCAAAATTATAGAAATGCAACCTCCCGATGCTCCCAGTCACGAGGCGGTCAGGGGACTTCGGTGGAGACGAGGCTGAGCCTTGGCAAGCGCGGGGCAGAAACGAAGGGCAACATTTTTTTTTCCTACTTCCAGCCTTCCTCGCAACAACACAATCTACGAGCATGATACAACACGACAACTCTCTCTATATTCCAACTACAATGCCAGCAATTACCCTGGTAGACGAGCCGCCTCCTTCGTACGCAAATGACGACTTCGATGACGTCTTCGGCTCCGCGCCGTCATCTCCCTCCATTCTCCCCTCTCACCTCAACGCAGGCAACCTCGAACCCTCCGACATCCCGCGGCTGCGCGAAAAGCACGAGACAGAAGGCTATAGAGACGGTGTCACGAAAGGGAAAGGTGAGAGTGTACAAGCGGGTTTCGATGAGGGGTATGGGTTAGGTGCTGTGCTGGGGTTGAGAATTGGGAAGATTCTGGGGATGTTGGAGGGGATTTTGGCGGGGTTGAAGGGGCTGGGAATGGAGAGGGAGAGGATGATGGCGTTGGTGGAGAGTGCGAACAAGGACTTGAGTACACAGAGTATTTTTGGGAGGGAGTATTGGGGGGAGGATGGGATTTGGAAATTTGAGGTGGGTAAAGAGGGGCAGCCAGAGGGAGAGGGGGAAGTGGTTTTTACGGATGTTGCGGCGGCGCATCCATTGGTTAGGAAGTGGGAGAGTGTCATTGATGAAGAGGTTGGGAGGTGGGGGTTAAATTTGGGGATTTTTGATGGAGAGGCTGGTGACGAGGGCGAGATGGAGGATGTAAGTGCTGGGAAGGGAGCACAAGGAAGAGAGGTTAAGAAGGGTGAGGTTGAGAGTGAACCCGTTGCTGCGGAAATGGCGAAGGTGCTAGGAATTTCAAAGAAGGATTTGAGTTGGTGAAGACGTTGGAAGGAAGGTTTCAACACATTCTACATTTACACCAGAACCATTGGCTCAGGACGATGCTGGGCATCGACGTGGAGGAAGAGGCCCGGCGGATAGAGAGGAATGAGGAGGACGACCATTATTGGTTATACGTTGCTCTCCACCAGCAGAGATAATTGGTCTGTTGACAACAGCAAACCAAAGTCTCATTTACGGGATCTCCAAACGTCAACAGCCATTAGGACATCGATGCTTTCTCAAGCTCTTCAGCGGCCGAGGAGCAAGACAAAGGCTTGACGAAGCTTGTCCACACCACAGCCTCCAAATAAGCCCGAGGTTATGCCTCTGTTACCACGGAGATGGAGATCATCTGGAGAACCATGGTACTACTTTAGTTCCAGTCTGAGCCCAATCAAGAAAACTCTGAATCTTGATGTCAAATTTAGATCTGGTGCGACTGCTTTTATGCAGCTTCGCGAGATCGCCAACCTCAACAAAACAAGAGCCACAACAAGGGCTTTGCAAACAGGCCCAAAGTGCTGTATGGCACGCGCATCTGAGAGGTAAACTACCATACAATTTCTCTGTTCTCTGGCATCGCTGTGCCCGACTCCTTGTTCTGTTATCCATGTTGACTTGCTTGAACATCAACTAAAACTGTCTAGCCGGTTCTGTATGACTCGTCACTGAAAACCCTGAAATACGCCTCCAAGCTTTACTAGAAATTAAATGGTACCTAGTCTCGAAAGCTTCAAATGCCATGTTGCATCTAAAAAAGCTGGAAAATAATTGACGAGGCAGTCGTGCCTTCCTGTATTCACTGCTTCTCCAGTCTCCCTATCACTGACGTTCCTTCCGTTTGTTTTTTATCCAACAGTTTATCAACCTCATCTCCCGCGACCGATATCCGTTTGCTCCCTCGTCCCCATCTTCCATTCCACATTCCCTCATCTTTCATACATTCGTTCCTCGCAAGGCTTCGGTCTTGCATGTTTCTTTATTTTACATACTCTACCTCATTGCGTACTCCTCTCTACACTCCTTGCATACCGATTCTGACTTTCACCCCGTGAGTACACACCTGATACACTCACCGTAAGTCGTCCAGTTCCACACGCCTCTCAATTCAAGACCGGCAACATGCAGCCTCCCAGAACCAAGCATTTGCCGTGTACCACCTAGCAACCTAGGGTCGCAAACACCATAAATGCAACGCACAAAGAGCACTTCAGGGAACATGTGCTCCTCTTGGACACCAATTGACTTGATACAGCTTCAAAATGAGAGCAACTACTCTTCTTCTTGGCTTCGCGGCCGCGGCCTTTGTATCCTCCAACATCATCATCAACCATGTCCCATTGAGCTGCAACCTCACCGATCCCCGTATATACAAGGGTTGTTTGCGTGGACAAGATTGTAACGTAGATGGACAGTAGGTTCCCCGGCCTTCGAAGCTTGCAGATACTTACATAGGCAGATGTGTCCCTACGGAACGTCAAGATGCTGTTCAATATTCGACCTTCCGCCCCGAGGCTCATGTGGTTCAGGTTAGAGATGGTCCATACTCCACAGATGGCAGTTGCGGTCCCGCACATGGCAACACAATCTGTGATCCAAACAGCAAGATTTATACTGGTGGATGCTGCTCAGTAGGTGAACCTCCTGGATGAGCAAAGCATAGCTGATGGAAGTAGCAATATGGCTGGTGTGGAATCAGTGCAGAGTAAGTCTGCAAGCAATCTGGTCTCGAGGCATGCTGACCTTGATAGCCATTGTGGTGCTGGCTGTATCTCTGGATGCCCCTCGACACCGCCACCGACAAGTTCTGGTGTTGCCCCTCGAGGTGATGGCCAATGTGGTGCTGTAAGTCTTGAAATTCCGCTAGAAACATGGCTGCTAACCTTGATAGAAATTCGGCGGCGCAACCTGCGATCCTAAGGGTCCTTATGGAGGTTGTTGCTCTCAGTACGGGTGGGTAATCATGGACTATGTCTTCGCATTTTGAGCCGTTCATAATTCCCTTCCTTTTTTTCTTGTCTTACGTTTCTGCAATTTGCCTGAACATTTATTCCTCAAGATCCTATGACCCTTCCCAATTATCACGCGTCTCGAGCAAATGTCAAAATGGCCGTACAAATCCCTCATCAAGCATTTCCCTCACAACCAGCAATGTCGAAGCCGGCAGCAAAAGCACCTTTCACCAGATATCCACGTCAAACCCAGTATCAAAAGCCTTTAGTAAATCTGCCCACAAATCATCTTCCATGCCCAAACCATCACTTCAACCATCTGGAAAGAGGACAACCAAGCGACTATCATCAACATCAATGTCAACTCCCTCCGGGACAGCTCCTCAAGGTGATGGAAATTGACAGTCCAAGTTTGGCGAAGATACCTGTGATTTGAAACGCCCATATGGCATTTGCTGCTCTCAATACGGCGCTGTCAAGTGATGATACTGAGAGATCGAGTACTGACTTCTTGTCATCCAGATTCTGCGGAACTACCAATGGACACTGCCTCGTCGCAAACGGTTGCCAAAGCGGCTGCAAAGATGGAAACCCAAGTGCGCCAGCCACCACATCTGGAGAGCCTGTGATCGGTCCAGTCAAGACCTCGATGGCACCTGAAGCGACTGCGACTGCTCGTGTCACAACCGATGGAACTTGTGGAACCTCGAATGGCGATACTGTCTGTGGCAACTGGCCAAACGGAAACTGCTGTTCCATGTATGGATTCTGGTAAGTACATCAATTCCTTGAGATTGGCATGTCTAAGCAGAAGCAGCGGAAAGACAAGTGCACACTGTGGAGCTGGATGTCAGTCTGGCAACTGCTTGAATGCTCCAGCTGTAGCTGCACCAGGAGCTAGTCCTGCACCGGCTGCTCCTAACGGTGGAGCGTTTCGCGTTGTTGGCAGGTCTGGTGTTCCTGCCATGCATGCTGGCCTTATGCCCAATGGTCGTGTTTTCTTTCTAGACAAGCTGGAGAATTATACAGAACTACGGACTGCCAACGGATACTATGCCATGTCCTCCGAGTACGACCCAAATACCAACACAGCAGCACCACTTGGGTATTCAACCAACGCATTTTGCTCGGGAGGGACTTTCCTCGCAGACGGGCGTGTCATTTCCGTTGGAGGCAACGGGCCATTGACCTGGTTGGATGCCAATATCGGTGACGGCTTCAACGCCATTCGCTACCTCGGCAGATCGTCAACAGACGCAAGCCTCAATGGACAAAGCTGGAGTGAACCTGGTAACAAGCTTGCAAGCGCTCGTTGGTATGCAACAGCACAAACCATGCCAGATGGAACAGTATTTGTGGCTTCTGGGAGTTTGAATGGTCTGGATCCAACTGATCTGGCTAACAATAATCCGACTTACGAGATTCTCAATCCCGGCGCTGTCAGTCGAGGTGAGAATATCGATTTGGAGATCCTGAAGAAGAATCAGCCATACTACATGTACCCATTCGTTCATCTCCTGAGCGATGGTACGCTATTTATCTTTGTTTCAAAGGCGTCGCAAGTATTCAATGCCGGGTCCAAAGCTGTCGTCAAGGAGTTGCCAGATCTTCCAGGTGACTACCGCACATACCCCAATACTGGTGGCAGTGTCCTTCTCCCGCTCTCAAGCAAGAACAACTGGGCTCCGGATATCGTCATCTGCGGGGGCGGCGCTTATCAGGACATCACCAGCCCAACGGATCCCAGCTGTGGTCGCATTCAACCCCTCAGTGCCAACGCCAGATGGGAAATGGATTCAATGCCTGAAGGTCGTGGTATGGTTGAAGGAACCCTCCTTCCTGATGGAACAGTTGTCTGGCTGAATGGTGGAAGCCGAGGAGCTCAAGGCTTTGGCCTGGCAAACACACCTGCTTTCGAGGCTCTCTTGTACGATCCAGCTAAACCACTTGGTCAGCGATTCAGCACCCTCGCTCGTTCCGATATCCCTCGACTATACCACTCAGTAGCACTTCTACT